CCCCCACCCAAGGTTGAGATGCTAGTCCAGTACAGACTCCTCTCCACAAAAGTTCATCAAGCTTCCCTGACAATTCACTGGTACCCATTCCTACTCCTGGGTCGAAAGAGGCACTGTGAGAGTAAAGTGTTTTGCTCAAGAACTCAACACAGTGGCCCATCTTGGGCTCAAGCCAGGCGCTAATGAGGCGGATTCCAGTGAGCTAAACTGCGAGGCCACTGCATCCCTCCCCTTACTAAAAAAAAGGGGTGGGCATGTTCTAGCAGTATTAAAAGAATTGTGGTTTCTATAAATGAAAAATTGAAGAGTAATAGCAGAGCTGTTAATTTAGAAAAAAATTATTGCCAGATATTGGTTCAAAAGACCATTTTCGATATATCAAAATCAAACTTGGCTCCAGGCCTGGGGGAATTGCCAGGCTTGAGTTGTAGTTTTACAGTCATGTGATGCACATGTACATGTCTGTGTGCTTTTACAGCATTCCTTGCCCTCTATTATTTAAATAAGGCATGAAATAAAACACCCTAAGAAAACAGAGACAGCAGATTCAGCTGGACACAGACCTGTCCAACTATGTCTCCAACAACTGTGGGAGAAACTGGGCTCCTAAGCCAAGCATGGCAAGGACAATAAGACCAAACTTAGCATTTCTCATACTCTTTCAAGACAAAAGAATGGCTATCATTCAAACAAAATTGCCTCTTCATTTTGTTGAATACTTACAGCGCACTTCAAGAACTGTGGTTTGACTTCTCTGACCAGCATTGTTGTAAGCTACACAAGAGAAAGTCCCATTCTGCTGCCAAGTTACTTTATCAATGGTCAAATAAGAAAGAGTCCTCAAAAGTTTAGAATTTGGAACTGGTACGAAATCAGTTGTGATATTATATGGATGTGTGGGGTTTGTCAGATTTTTTCCATTTAGTTTCCAAACAACTTTTGCAGCAGGTTTGGCTTGAACTGTACATGCGTAGTTCACAGTGTCATTTTCAGTCGTTGCTTGTCTGTTTGCTAACTGACTCTGGAATGTTGGTGGCACTGAATAAAGCAAGCAACATTAAAAATGAGTTTCGAAATAAACCGTTTTATAGGGAGTCTAAAATACTTAGAAAAAGAAAAACAAACAAAATAAGAGAATTTTAATGCAATGCTGCACAAACCACTGGCTGTGAAATCAGGTGAACAACAGCTGAAACATGGGAGATCAATTGCACAATTAATCTGCAAAAGGTGTTCATTTCCCAATGGAGACCAAATTATTCTACAAACTCTACCCACAATGGTCTGGCTAAATTTTGATGGATGAGCTTTTTTATTTAACTTTTGTAGTTCACATCTTGTGAATATTTTCCTTTTGCTTCCTACGTAATAATGTAAGGCCTGTCAAGGAAGACCTTGGATATGCACTTAAACACTTTCTTGTTTTTCACACCAGTTTGACACTTTTAAGAAAAACAGTTTTTGGATAGCAAACGATTTTTGCATGAACCCCATGTTAAGGAAATTGCAAATTTTCTTTGATATTTGATGTGCCTCTATTTTTGAACAAATCGGGGGATTTTGTCCTCATTCTAATTTCTGGATAATACTTAGTTTTTCCTTCTAAAAGACTGTGGTTTGACTACGCTAAAAATCATGTATGTTTAACCAGCACTATTTCTCACCTATAACTGTGATCTTCAGTGGCTGTTCGGGTCCATTTCCAAGTACATTTTGTGGCTCACAGCTGTATGTGTTATCCTCCTCACTGAGCTGCACATTAGAAATTGTGTATCTTCCACCTGAGGTGCCACTCAGGGTTGATGT